TTTCCTTCAAAGTAATAGATTGTTTATAAACGTTTGTAAACGTTAACTTGTCCAAGTGGAAAACATCTGCATACTTTGCGCATATTTGTTCAATAGTCAATCTTTCGTCATCCCTTAAATAATCTAACTTAAGAAGAGAAAATAATGACTTAACACGATCTGCTGCTGTCATATCAAGTTGCTCAAAGTTACAATAATCATATTCAATATTTTTATTGGTATTTTACCATTTTTCGGCCTAGCTACCACGTTAGCTAAGAAAACCCCATCTTGTAAGGTTTTTGACAATATAAGGCAGTCGATATTTACTTTTACTGGTACATGTTTTATAATTTCGCTTCTAGCTGCAATTGAAATTGAATAACTATAATTATAAAAATGTAGAGGTAAACAAACACTATCCTTTCCGTGTAAAGTCAAAGTATCATTTTCATAGTTGGTAATACCATGATATCCTTTAGTAAAATCTTGACCTAAAATACCTATTGCCTTACAAGGCAAATTCTTAAAAACGTAAAATTTACTAGAAAATATTTGCTTATTATACTCTAAATCCAAGTAAACATAACCTACTGAACTTAAACTTCCGCTTATTCCGTTAACTTTAATAATATCTTTATAAAAACTAATACCCATACTAACTAAATACTCATATTTTATTACAGATAAGGAGGCCCCCGTATCAATTAACCACTCTAAATTATTTCCATTTAAACTTAAATTAACATAATTAATACTATCGCATGTCAATATTTGTTTATTGACGAAAAAACTTACTACTTGATGATTCGTCAGGTGTTTCAATATTCATGCTATTCTCAGATGGAATATTATTATCACTGTAATAATTAATAGCATTACGATTACTGCGATGGACACAATTAGCCGCTCCACGAAACTGCTGACCACGGAAATAAGACGCGTGGCCGCGGTTCACTGCCCGCTGCTGACCCGACCTATGTTTTGTGAAGTTATTGTACTGAGTATTGCGAAATTAGTGGAAATTTTTACTATGATTGCCTCTAGGAAAATCATTCCTTGAATTTCTATGGTAAAAACCTCTACTGCGGTTAGAAAAAGACCTACTATTATAAGACAGAACCTGAGGTTCAGAAACAGAAGACTCATCTTCAGCTGACCTTATGGCATCCTTTAAACTCGAAAAATTTCTCGCACTTATCACTGTACTTAATCTTTGATTTTGTAATCCGTCTGCAAACCGTTTTATTGCGTTTTTCTCATTTATAGGACGTAAAATTTTATATGCCTCCTCGTTACCGTTAGCCTGAGATATCGTCAAGTCAACAAATAACTGCTCAATTTCATCTGCGAAAGCCTTAATTGACTTATTTCCCTGTCTAACATTTTTCTGGCGAGATTGCAACGCTGTATCAGATTTTCTAGTGAGCAAATGGGTACGCATATCTGATAAGAGAGACTTAACATCAGTATAAATCGGGTTCAGTCGCATTTTAGCATTGCTAGATAACCGAGTTTTCAAAACAAAATCTATTAATGGTTTCCTATCACCATCAAGCATAGAATCATATAGTTCAATAGAATCTATTAATTCTTGTGCTGTGGATTCATTTCCATTCATTTTGGGCAAAAGGCTAACTGCCGTTTTCAAACAAAATGACTGTTTCTCCGACATTTTGGGGGTTGTATAGTCTAAGACGGACGAGTATAAATTTCTTATAATTATGCTTAAATCTAGAAAGTCCTTTGTGAACTCGCTAGATGGAAATGATTTTAAAATATCTTCAAAGATCTTAAATAATAGTTTCGCTTCTTGAACACGATTTTCGTAATTTGGTCCAATCGCCGCTTCTGTCCTAATCTACGCACATATTCTTTTATAATTAATAATTTACTTTGAATATCTAATAACTTCTGTAACCCTTCATCTGCCATCTATATAAAATTCTACAAAATCAAAAAATAAAATCATTTAAAGAGTCACTATATAAAATACAAGTAATGCTACGACTATTCATTAAAATATAATGTTGACCTACATTAAGTTCAATAATCGAAAGTTCATTGTCTCTTTATTTTAACGCTAGCACTGCAATTTCCGCGCACCACATAATATACGACATGAAACACTCGAGGAAAATGAAAGAAATTAAATAATAAGGGCTTCTAATATCACTCACTTAATCACGCCTCTTCGAAAGCCGGATTTTTGATGCTCAAAACCTTACGAATAGCCGCTTTTCGTAACTCCTCACGAACCCAGCTCCTATGACACCTTCGGTATATATAGAATCCTCCAATAAGTAGGGCGATAAGGAACAGGACAGCCACGACGATCATCACGACGTTAGTAGCTCGGACATGGTGCTGCTGCTGACTCAATTCGGACAAATTGTTACCTCCAGATGCGGTCTGAGCCAACACGACTTCCTCCTTACTTGTAGATCCTCCCATGATTTATCCCGGTTTGCCTGAAGACCTCAACTGGCAGGGTCGCCATCCACGGTTGTCGTAGGAGCCGTTGATTGAAACATTTATTAAACTAATAAAACTATTTATTTATTCCTTTAAGATTACATATTTACTATTCTATGTCTTAATTATTAATGCCGTCGCGACACATGCGCGTTACTTAATATAAATCAATATTGCTTACTTCCTTGCTAAATACACTTATTATACACTACAGAAACTACAGTGTATTTTATTAGACCATAGATTCCTTTATTAGATAGGTGACGTTTTGCCTATATGTAGCTCCAAACATATTTACAAGCGTGATGCAACGAACTTCAGCGCCATCTATTTTGATACATATGAACTAAAATTTTAAATGCACAAAAATGGCGCACCAAGGACAAACTGAGATTTGTTCTTACAAATATTTAACTTAACAACATGACTCTGTTATCGCCCACCATGACTTAAGGTAACAAAACAAATAAAAACAATAAGATGTACAATAACTTAAAATAATATATTTATACACATCTGCAATTGACTATTGTAAAAAGTTTAATGTAAAATATTTCATCGATTAGTTATAATAAATGTATATAAAATGAATAAATATATATTTATATACGTATATTATTTTCATTAATTTGTTAATTTACCCTTTCATACATTATCAATCTTTTTTAAGTTAAATAAACTCTTTTTGCGTCTGGTTAGACTATCGAACTTAAGGAGTAAACTCCAGTCGTGCGTCGGAGCTGACACACACAATTTTTTTTGTCTTGTGTGATTTGTATCATTATTACCCCTGCCGCGCGCGCACAAATAACGCTATTTCGGGAACCGAGCGCGTGTTATCACCAGTCAGGCGATGCCGTGCGAAATGGACCTTGCGGAAGTAGGTTAAAGGCTGAGAATGACCCGCGTTTATTAGCAGCGTACGCTTGACGTAATTCGATTTTTGTTTCATGTTTTTGTCTTGTGTGATTTGTATCATTATCACCCCCGCCGCGCGCGCACAAACGATACTATTTCGGGAACCGAGCGCGTGGTTATCACCAGTCAGGCGATGCCGTGCGAAATGGACCTTGCGGAAGTAGGTTAAAGGCTGAGAATGACCCGCGTTTATTAGCAGCGTACGCTTGACGTAATTCGATTTTTGTTTCATGATTTTGTCTTGTGTGATTTGCATCATTATTACCCCACGCAGCGCGCCCTCAAACGATGCCATATCGGGAGCCGAGCTCGTGTTATCACCACTCGAGCGATCTCGTGCGAAAGTGGACCTTGCGAGAAGTAAGCTGAAGGCTGAGAATAGCACGCGTTTATTAGCAGCATACGCTTGACGTAATTCAATTTTTGTTTCATGTTTTTGTCTTGTGTGATTTGTATCATTATTACACTCGCCGCGCGCGCACAAACGATGCCATTTCGGGAACCGAGCGCGTGTTATCACCAGTCAGGCGATGCCGTGCGAAAATGGTCCTTGCGGAAGTAGGTTAAAGGCTGAGAATGACCCGCGTTTATTAGCAGCGTACGCTTGATGTAATTAGATTTTTGTTTCATGCTTAAGCCGTGTGTGATTTGCATCATTATTACCCCTCGCAGCGCGCCCACAAACGATGCCATATCGGGAGCCGAGCTCGTGCGAAAATGGACCTTGCGAGAAGTTAGCTAAAGGCTGAGAATAGCACGTGTTTATTAGCAGCGTACGCTTGACGTAATTCGATTTTTGTTTTATGCTTATGCTTTGTGTAATTTGTAGCATTATTACCCTCGCCGCGCATGCACAAACTATGCCATCTCGGGTATCGAGCTCGTGCCATCACCAGTCAGGCGGTCCCGTGCAAAAACGAGCCTTGCGAAAAGTGAGGTTAAGTCTGAAGCGGGCTCCATACGCTTATTGTGTGCTACAAACGCCAAGGACATCAAACAAAGTGCCAAACACCGATCACAATTATCCAACACAAACGGGTATACCCAGGCTTGCCGAGCATGCTAGTATATTCCTGTTTGACAAACAACATCCTTTGGTTTATGCAAAAAAGGGACACCGACACCGATCACTGGCGAACACAAACAACACTGACAGGCAAACAGCCATCTATACGTTTGTGTTTGTTGTGTGTGTCCGCTGTTTGGCGTCTGTTTGCCTAGCGTGTATAGGCACATTGATTGAGGTTTGCTTGCAGGCTTTTCAGAACACACACACAAGACAAAGAGTAATCTTTTGTCTTGTGAACTGCATTAATCTCTCGCGCCGCGCGCGCATAAACGATGCATGCATTGCTGTGCGATAACGGACCTTGCGATAAGTAAGACTAGTCTGAGATTTGCATATGAACTCGGCTCTTTTGCGTGATGTTTTAAGATTATTGTTTTTTTTCTTTGGGTGAATGGCATATTTTCAAAGAGAACGATTTAGCCAAACTATCGAACGCACCAGCCATCTTTTGCTGTTTTTTTATAAAGATGATAACTTTTACTTGATTATGAATTTGGTTGAATATAAAAATTAAAATATGTAATGATTATGAAACTAAGCCAAAAATATTCTATTGCAGACCCGCTAAATATGTAAACGCAACCAACCACGATTGGTTCTTTGTGGTAAGTCTATTATTATTTTTATATTATACTAGTGGCCTGCCCTCGCTTCGCTTCAGTGTAGAGCTGTAGTGTAGACTAAAATGACTCTTCATATAATTATAAACATTTAGTGAAAATTAGACATACTTACTAACTAATATTATAAATCTGGAGAGTTTGTTTATTTGTTTTTTGGTAGAACACGCTAATCTCCCAAAATACAGGACCGATTTGTTTTTTTTATGCTACCTTTATAAAATCACGCTAGGACCAGTAGAATCGGAGGATCGATGAAAAATGTTGCAAAAACCGGTAGAAATACTCCATGTGTGAGCTTTCGTAGCGTGCGCTGGGTAAATGGTTAAAGTTACACAAAAATGTATTACGGAATTTTAAAAGTCCTACAAAAAAGCCCGCGTAAGCATAGCATCTTTTAAGTTTGACTCACTATAACCTTTTTCCTCAAATTAACGCGAGTGAAATCGCACAAGACCTCTAGTAGTGACATAACTGTAATAGTTAGACATATCGCGGACTCTTTTGAAGATATTGATGTTCTCTATAAAAAATAGTACATCACTTTGCTCTATTGTCAATGTCTTCCGCAGCGTACGCGATATAACGTTGTTTTTTGGTATTTTTTTCACACATTGGGTTACATTATCGAACTTGTCATACGGAACCCTAACTTTTTTGAAAATACTCTATAGCCATTGTTCATCAAGGAGATAATGTATAATTCTAAATGTGAAAGATTTTTTAAATCCGTTCAGTACTTTCGGAGCCTATTAAATACAAACAAACAATCAAATCTTTCCTTAATATTAGTATAGATACAGAGATCTGTAGGGAAAACCTACTGTTTATAACAAAAATAGCAAATTATCCTAAATGTAAAGTGTCGCTTCAGCCTCTTAATTCTCATCAGGCTATTAATGCCTCCACTGCTAGGTCACGCACAGGTCTTCCCTAGAATGGCAATGGGAGAATGTGCCATTTCCCACCACGTGGGACCCACCAGTGCGGATAGGTGGGTGCCAACAACTGCAGATGCAGCCGGGACCAACGGCTTAACGTACTTTACGAAGTTCGGAGGAGCTCGAGATAATAAGTTTTTTGGTCACCCATCCCAATGGATGGCTGGCCATTGGGAAAGTTGATTAACTTTCACTATCGCAGTCGGAACCAACTAACCATCTGCGCCATCGAATTTTTACTTCATCAACAGCCTATCATTTTTTCCTACCGGATATGTACAACTACAAACCCTCCCTATTTATTTTTTAGAAAGTAAATTATCCCAAGTTTGAGTTAAAATAGATAAGTATATATATAAGATAAGTCATGAAAAAATTACGTGACAAAAGTGTCGCTCCAACCAACTGATAGGGTGCTGAAACTGAAATTCTTTGAACAAAAAACTGAAAATGTTATATTTGCACTTTCCAAACTTCTATTGAAATCACGTCACTCAATTGTTTTGCCTTCCCGGAACCTCTCCACTAACATTTGAAATTTATGGTATGGTATTAAAGTTCAAATTGACTTTTATGTATTATTGCGAATCGTTTGTATGGGAGTATAGAAAAGTGTTGTTTTTGGACGTAAGAACCATCCTTGTTCTTTAGGAATATTTTAAAAATAGATCAAATCGAAATCGGTTCAGTTGTTCTCGAGATTTACGCTGAGCAACACATTCAGCGATTCATTTTATATTATAGATTATTAATGTGGTAAGTTAGATTTCGTTAATTTTTCTATTATGCTATTACGACGATTTCACCAGAAAATATAAATGGAAAGATTACTCAACATCACTGTCACTGCTCCGTATATCAAAACCCTAGAAAAAACATTAAATACAGATATCAATCATAAATACTTAATTTTTCATAGTGTCATATAACCTATAGTGATTGCGTTGCGTATAAAAAGTGCATAATTTGAGCCAAACATCAAATTATGCAAGTTTAATACGCAATTTACAGCGTTAGCTACTGTTGTCCCTATCGCACGGTGTTAGCCAATGGGCGACATCAATAGTTTTTTCAAATTAAAAATGCTATGGGGTATTTTCCAAATTTTTGGAAACTGCTTATATTTAAAGATCGGGACAAACAAAAATTTGGAAAATACCCTATTGCGTTAGGATCAGCCTAGTTGGCCATGTAAAGTGACACCGTGGGGCGATTGGTCGCCCTGTTCATCGCGTTGCGGGCGCGGTCGGCGTTTGCGAACCCGCCTGTACCTAGTGCAGGATGCGCGCGCGCAGCCAGAAATGTCGCGCAGGTTGCTACAACAGTGGAACAAGAGGTTCGCCGAACTACAGAAGCTGGTGAGAAGTTGCTTTAAAAAATCTTAACAGTTGTGATGTTTTTATTTTTAGTCTTTACTAGTTGACCCCGCGTACTTCGTACGGGTTTAAATAATTTGAAAGAAATGACGGACCCGAGTCTACCGCACCAAAAGGGACGAACGTCAAATGTTTGACAGGAAAGAAGATTTTATGTTGAGAACAGTTTATGTGGGAAAATTAAATTGACGTTTTTACTATCTTCCTCGCAATTTTTCCATATTTTCACCTTTTAAACCTTCCCTAGACCTCCAAGAACATTTCAAGAGCAAGATAAGATAAATCCGTTCAGCCGTTCTCGAGTTTTAGCGAAACTAACGAACAGCAATTGATTTTTATGTATATAGATTAGTGTAGGAGCTTTGATCGACATATTCGATCATACCAGCTCCATCTTAGCCAAATTGATCCTTCTTATTTACTCAATCAACTTAATACTAGAAATTGTATAATTGATAACAATTTTAGCGGCCTCTGAATATGGCTCAAAAATGAAATAAAACGAGGTAAGTATTCAAAATAATAAGAAACAGGTTTTTTTTTTGCATTTTTTGTTTAGCAATGGCAATTAAAACCAGTCGTTTTCTTTGTTTATTAAATTGAACCTTTTATTACATCGCCGCAAAGGATCCATTCTTTTCTCCATATAACGCTGCCAATTTTGTACCTCAACAATTATCATACATTTATGTGTAGAAAAATACGCCGAATTATCAAAATTATAACTGGAGTTTATTATCAATATGTACCACATAAAAATGTCATTTAAAAATTTCAATTACTGGCAACACTGATAATATATTATGGTAAAAGTGCAAAAGATGCATTTTTTTAATTAGCTACGGAAATCACGTGTTTTTTATACAACCAATCACAATCTAGGAAATGAATTTATACCATTAATATTAACTGTCATCTGTTAGTCAATGACAAATTGCTTCTAAGTAATAACATTATTTATACGCAGATTCCCCATTATAATTTTTTTTTATTGAGATGAGAGAGCTTTTTAAATATTTTTTTTAATGTTTTTTGAGATAATTTGTACCAAGGTACAAAATTAGGCAAATATCGATGGTCTCCTTTTTTCGTTCATCTTTAGCATGACGCATTACATTTTTATTGTTATTTAAAAATTCAAACCATATCAACAAACGAGCATCGTTGGTTCAATGGTAGAAAGCTCACTGCCGCTGCCCTGGCCCGGTTTCGATTCCCAGTCGAGGAAGGACTTTTTTTGACTTTTTATGAGTCAGAGTAACCTCAACTAAGTATAGCCTGGAGTGCATTATCTCTTTTACATCCCTTAAATAAAGACACCCGTATAAAGTAATGTTTGGAATTTAGAGTGATGCACTTTTTAAGGGCATGGACAAAATTGGGCATTGAGCAATTAGTATACTAAAATCATAAAAAATCAACACTTAGTGTAAGGTCTCCTAATTCGTCAGTTTTTATTTGAACATAATAAGAAAGCAATGATCCTTGCACTTTTGGTAACATTTTCTCCATCATTAACGGTTCTAACCTTGCATTAAAGTACGTGACATAATATATAAAAGTACTTCAGTAAATTGTTAATCGATGATTGACACAGAAAACTAAGTTCACATAGTTTGGAAATTTTGGCAATGCTTAGGTAAGTTTCTTTAGATATATGTATTTAACCTTAACAGATGCACATAATAATTCATAATTAGTCATTATGGTGCTCAAACTTGTGAACCTTCCCTAGTGGGAAACAGAGAGCCTTATATATTCACATTGCATAATTATAATTAGCATTTATTGCTCGCTACTTATTTTTGGCGTTTTAATCTAATATATAAAATTCTCGTTGTGCGTAACTCTGAAACGGCTCGACCGATTTTCGTGAAATTTTATATGCATATTCAGTAGGTCTGAGAATCGAACAACATCTATTTTTCATCCCCCTAAATTTAAAATTATATTACTTATATTCACTAAAATTAAACACCAAAAACCATTCGTGTAATTTTCAATCAATAACTAGGTATGCTGATGTCACAGAAGCTGTCCATGCCCCTTATATTTAAATATCTCGTCTACTTTTGATTTGCCATTATCATTCGCATTTTCCAATTATTATGTTAAGATTAAAAGCTCGATCTTAAATAAGTTATTAAATATCGAGCTTTTAAACTTAATCAAATAATTTTCCGAAAATTTTCATTTATATGCAAAAAAGAATGAGATGATGTAAAGCATTTTAAAAGCACTTGCGTCGTGTGTTCATAAAAGCACATTTTTTTTATCAAAGAGTAAACTCGTACCCCCTTATTAATAAACAAAGAATAAGCTTAGATTTGTTACTCCATGTTTTGTCTTTGTTCATTGAATGAAAAATGGCATTTGAGTGATAGGACCAAAACATGATGTAACTAGTCAAAGCATATTCCGAGTTTATTAATAAGGGGGCCAAGTCTGATATTCCAAATACGATCAAAATGTTAGTGGTAATGGAATTTGGCGTCTTATTTTTCACATGTGTAAGTTTTTTGCAGGATTTCCCCTCAGAAAACCTGACGACCTCGAAGGAAGGAAACGATCCTGAAATAGAGAAACTGGTACAGGAACAAATTGACAAGTGCCAGTTCACTCTTTCCTTGCAGGAGGCCCTGTGTGACGGCGATGATAACTTGTGTGTGGATACTGAAAAGACACAGGGTATGTCCGTTATTTAATTGTAATAAACATCTTATGCTATGCTAGCACTTCACATGGCTATTTGTAATATTGTCAGTAGAATATGTTGTCATGCTTTAAAAGGAATGGAAAGGAGAGATTGTTGATAAATTTTGTCAATGCTAAGAATGAGACACAATTTCAGTTTGTGTATTCTATCATTATTTTACTATTATATTTTTGTTTTTCTTTTCATTTCTTTTATTTAAATAAACTTTTTTTCCTTTCCGTGGTGTTTATAAACTATATTTAAAAAAAATATAGCTATTAACGGGATTGTTACCATGTACCTTGTTTTTAATGAGTCTCCGATATATCGGCACTGTTGCAAGCGCCATGACCACGGAGTAACTGAAGTAATTCCGGGTAGATGTTATTGGCAGACATATCGGTCTACCCTCTGACGTCGTCTTTTACTGCCCTCGATTAATTACTTCAGTTACTCCGTGATCATACGCTTGCAATAGTGCCGAAATATCGGAGACTCATAATAAACAAGGTACATGGTAACAACCCCGTTAATAGCTATAATGTTAGTGACCATGAAAGTTTAAAACAATATATATTTAAAAAAGTTTCATTTCCCAGAGGTGTGCAAGTTATCAATGGTAGTGGGCCATTGTCGTGGATACGAAGAGCGCTGGTTCTACGATATGTCTCGCAGCACTTGCGAGCCCTTCGGCTTCACCGGTTGCGGCGGAAACGGAAACAACTTCCGCACCAGGGAACAATGTCACAGCCTCTGTGGGAACCTTACGGCTTCGAACACTACCTCCAACGCATCGGATAATGGTATTTTTAAGAAACCTTTAGACCAAATTACACTGCACACGCACTACTGCTTCCATAATAATAAAGTAATATTTAAATTTAAATTTTTGATAAACTGGGTCGTATGCTAAAAATCTGTTAAGTTTTTATTTGATTCTCTTACCTGTTTATTAACTTTATCCCTTGTGTCAGAGAATCGTATATTTGGATAACAAACGCCTACAATACATTTTTATAGTTATGGTTATTGTTTAAAGACATAAAAAATTGTCAGGGACGTTTCAGCAGGCCAAAATGTTATAATCCCTGTAAGTTCGTCGCAGGCAATTTGTATGATGTAGCCTCGGATAATGGTATCAGTTTCAGATGCTATTGTACCACTTCTGTGGGAACCTCAAGGCTTCTAACACCACCTCTGAAGCCTCGGATAATGGTAGCTTTTTAGTTTTTAAGACCAATTTCTATAGCACTAGGATCTCATCGTCTCTGTGGGATAGTCAAGGCTACAAAACCACCTCCAATGCTTCGAATAATAGAATTTTTAAGATTCTTAAGACCTATTACAGATTTATGTACTTACAACCTTTGTGAGAACCTCATGGCTTCTATCATCATCGTGTTGTTTATCAACGGCGTCGTCCGTTTAAAAACGCTCGCTGTTTTAAAATATGCCGATGGTAAATTGGCGACTCGTTCAATTGTTAAAATTTCGGCGTTGATTGTTATAGTAGGGTGACTACCATGAAACACAGGTTGAAACACAAATGTGAAAGCAATCTAAAAAAAAAAAAGTTTCACACATTTGTATCATCAAACATGTTTAGTTATTGCACTTTTTTTTGAGGTATCGTTTAAGCAAATTGCTTAGAAATTGTTGAATCTAAAACCAGAAATCCTAATTGAGGATGATTTTTTTATGTTTTAGATGAATTAATTAAACCAAAATTTCACCTGAAATCACTTATTTTTCGTGTTCAAAATTTTCGCCGCTTTTTCTAACACACGCACGGGCCCGTTGTCTTACTTCTTCGTAAGTCATTTTTCTTAGAATTGAACTCTGTTATCATTTGTAACACAAAAAGTTTGTGTGTTAAAGTATTTTTTTTTTATTATTATTCTACTATAAAACATATCTTTAATATTCTCAATTTGGTATGTAGGTCCTATTTTTAATGATTTATAAGCTATCTACTTAAATTATTCAAGATTCATTATTGAAGATTCCGGTGCTCCAATATTGGAAACTGATCGAGAGGTCATTTTTCAGCAGGACGGGTGTCCAGCCATTTGGATTTAAATGTAAGAGATCATTTTAATAATTGCTTCCTTGATAGCTGGATCGGCTGCTCGGTCACCCGACCTTACTCCAATGGACTTTTACGTGTGGGGTCGGGCCAAGGAACTAGTTAACACTCGTGATAAGATAAACACAAAAGAACAATTGAAAGAAAGAATAAATGCAGCATTTCAAACGATGAAACAGGAGATGATGTTGAAAATAACGACAACGGAAGTAAGACAACGGGCCCGTGCGTGTGTTAAAAATCGCGGCGAACATTTTGAACACGAAAAATAAGTGATTTCAGGTGAAATTTTGTTTTAATTAATTCATCTCAAACATAAAAAAAAACCTCAATTAGGATTTCTGGTTTTAGTTTCAACAATTTCTAAGTAATTTGCATAAACGATACCTCAAAAGAAAGTACAATAACTAAACATGTTTTTAAAAAGCTTTGAACAAACAAAACACCCTCCGTGTTTTTTTTGAAGACTTAGATAAACAGCTTTTTTTCATTTTAAAAATTTACGATCATTTCAAATATCTGAAAATACAATTAGCCAACAATATTTTTACAGATATTTGAAATTATTGTATTTTCATTAAAATCGCTAAAAAATATCAAAAATTAAATGCTCAGACTTCGTCTAAGACAAGTATGTCTCAAATGTTTCTAAATGGTCTCTGTTAGCTTTCCTTTAAAGCTTTGCACCCATCTTCCAAACATCCTTTAAAGACAATTACAGTTTTTTGTCGACCTAACTGTATATAACAAAACTACATTAAAAATGTTTTAGCTTCCGTTGTGCAGTCGGATGTCGCCGTGAAGAAGTTGAAGCCAACTCCTCCTGTCGAAGACAACGAAGTCTTGCAAAATGATGACCCGGCACAAGGTAAATGGATAAAAATTAAATACGACATTATCACTTGAATGTATTCTCAATTAATAAGCTTTTTGATCAAAAACATGAAATCCCTAACTAATACTCAGAAGTACCTATGAACCCCAATTTAGGTACAGTTCCCATGAAAAAGTTTTATATTATCAATCACTATTTTAAGCTATCGCAACAATAAAATTTGCGTATTTAGTTTCGAGTTAAATCAATATCCGATGATTCCATTCTCTTATTGTTTTTAAATATTTTTGTTTGTTTTTTATTTAGGTGAGGGTGTTAAGTGTGAATTGAGTCCATGGCTGGGATGGAGCGAATGCTTCGGTGAATGCGACTTTGGAGTTAAACTCAACTATCGCTTAATAAAGGTAGTTAATTGCTATCCATCAGTAATTTATGATTCATTATCGTGAGAGTATTTGCTCTCGTTATATAGATCCTCAGAATAGGCGAAAAATTTCCTTAAAAGTTCTTTAATTTAATATCGCGCCTTTTTGAACAAACGATTTTTTTAAGCATTTATCTGCTAGATGTTTAATTCTAAAGATATTTTTTTAAAGATTATAAATGTTATTTCTTCTTTCAAATGTTTAATACTTGAAAAAGTGTTCATTTGACATTGTGGGTTACCTACAATGCGAAGAGATGGCGCTGCCTTGCAGTTTAAGGATAGGAAAATTTCGACGCGGCCATCAGGGCCGCGGTAGCATAATTGGTCAGTGCATTCGCCCGGATTGCGAAGGGTGCGGGTTTGAGTCCCGTGTGCTGCCTGGCCCTCGTGGATTTTTTTCTATTGAAACAATTTTTTTACAATTTTTTTCTGGTCACACTCATTATGAGGACACGCGGGAATTTTAATGTACATATTAATTAATCACACTGGACGCTGTTTGTACGTTTATTTGATGTCCTTCTCATTTTTACGAACGTTTGGAATCAATATTTCTTGAAAATATGTTTTCCTATATCTGGTGGGTTTTTTTACTTTGCTGTACGCTCCATAGACATAGACAACCATTGACACAGTAGATGAACTGAGTGATACTTGCATGCAATTTATAAAATTCTACAAAGGGAAAAAGTGATGGTGCAACCAATACAGTTTTCAGCATCCGACTGCTCACAGAACACAGAAAAAAGTTAGAAGGGTGATCATAGACCGTTTGTATGGGAACCGATTTCGCCTGCTCGCTCCAGCTACACTTCCCCCTAATAGATAATAGCCAATCAAACGATGCGACATAAAACAATCGAACCGATCCGTGCACACGAGAGCAGCGACGCAATCAGAACCAAGTTTTGGTCAAGCTATGAGCATTTGCTCACACACAACTGTGGCGCACCTGCCCTGCTTCTAACCCCTTTCTGTGGGACTATTGGGCGCCTGATCGCGTGCTTCGTATCTGTAACTCTTACACCCATATTCTTAGTCGTTTCCTCGAGATTTTTTCCACTCGACTCAACCTCATTGGAGGAAATTCGTATGCTTAGACAACAAAAATATCCTTCACTTGAGATATTCCTCACTCGAGTGGAGGTCGAGTCGAGGAATAAACTGTCAAACTCAAGGTAGCTCTCGACGTACCTTAAGGCTTCCTCGAGTGGTGTTTTCAAGTTGCTTTTATCGAGAATTATGTCTGATTTTGAGATTATTGACGAATTTGTGGATTTTATGGATTAAGTATACGATTTATTTATTTATTTATTCAGTAACACATACACGATGATTAACCATATAATTATCCGGCGCGACGGTATTTACGTGATGCCGCAAATCCTTTTAAGGTCTACGACAATGATTCGTTTCAAAGAAGATTTCGGTTTAGAAAAGATACAGTCATACAAGTAATATTTCCTCTGTTAACCATTATAGAAATAAAATCCTCCAAATGATGACGTCACAATGTTGAGGAATTCTCAGTGGAGGAATTCTCAAGTTTGTTCAAGATACCAACTAGAATACCATTTTCGAGGTTATTTGGAGGAATTCCTTAAGGAGCCCTCGAATGAGTTTGAGTCGAGGAACGTTTGAGGACGCGATTAAGAATATGGGTGTTAATTTCCCAATTTTAGGCTGGGCGCATATGTACGTTTCCTCGTACAGACGGTGTCGTCGTCCAATAAGCTAGTTGACTCATGTCAAATTGCACTATACAAATGTTTATTTCTTATAATTTTTGGTATGAGGAACTTAAAGACATCGATTTCACTTCGATCGATAAAATTAGAAGATGGCTGTAGTAATTTAATTTGAAAAAGATTTTATTAGTCTATGCTTTTTAATCACTAAAAACGCTGTCCACCATAATTGTGACGTCAACAAATTAGTAAGCACCTAAACGTCATTGTCGTGTTACTGTGGTTTCTTTCGTCGGACTAAAATATATCTAAAAACTCTTATATCTTGAAGAAATGTTTCCGTTTATTGGTTTTGTTGACTAAATTAATGCTGGACGCCAGATTTGTGAAAGCAGAACCGACAAAACTCTTTGACTTAATAGGTAAATTAATAACCTTAAAAATTGGATTTTTTAACTTTAAATATTATTCAATGAGTACTTACATTAAAGTGATCTTTGCAAAAAGAAATGACTTTCAGACGATGAAGTTACAGGATTTAGCAAGTTTTAAACGTGTCTTCATGTGTTGGTATGTGTATTTCTCTAGGAAAGGAGATTGCTCAAATTGGCCCAAATGTACAAAAAAATATTGACATACACGATAATTCTTGGCGTAATTTATAATTTAATTTACAGTCATTAGATTTCAATGGACACCTTTGTATAATAAATATACTTTAAAAAGGACTTTTAATTTTACCGGTTTGGTGTAGTTACATTCAGCCAAAGACCGATCAAAGTTGTTTATATAACATAAAAACAATTCTATTTTGTAAAGATCAATAAAATAAATCATTTTTTTTTATTACACTGTGGTATTAATATCCACCACTATATTATAATTTACACTAGATGCAAATGTGCTCAGACAATTATTATAGATAGTAAACGACATCATAAAGTCTATTGCCATCATTTTTCGCCAAACACCTCCATAAACACATTATAATCTGTATATATGTTAGAATTTAAGGTATCTATCTATGTGCCTACGTTCCCTGACTGTAAATTAATAAATAAATAAAATTATAAGGTGTGATACACTAAAAATCTAAAATATGTTTATCTTAAAAACATAACAAAAATAATAAAGCTACTGAATATATGGCTATAGAACCTAAATCTCTTAGCTTTCTTTGGTTAACGAGAGTTTAAAAATTCTGTCTAATCTGTGGCTCATTTACAATCATCACACAGTTTCTGTCACAGAGTACGTTATTATAACCGGAAATAACACCTGATTTTAAAAGTTTCTCTTATGCATTAACTTTAAAAACAGGCAACTATCTGTTAATCTACATCAGGGGCGGTCTTAGCTAAACTTTTCAGTGGTGCAAGATCTTATGGTGGCGCCCCAGTTTACATAGACACGAAAAAAATAACATACCTAATTAGTTTTACATTTATGTTCTTTATTTCGTGTCAATTTTTTTGATAAGAAGAAGAGAATAATAGAAAAAAATATTAGTTTGACTATATTTATTTAATTAAAAACTTAGTAAGTAGAAAATTACATTTCTTGTCTTTGCGCTTGCGATTTTTTTTGTTAAATCGGAATAATTTAATCCTTGGGCAATGTCATTTTCTATTGATAGAATTGTAAGATCTGACAGTCTTTCTTGACAAATTGTCGAATGTCAGTACGTTTAAATTAGTTTTAATTTACTAAAGCTTCGTTCACCTTTGGCGACAGTTATGGGGATGGTCAGCAAAATCCGAAGCACTGTCCACACATTCGCGGAAATATCCTGCCATTATTTTTTAATATGTTGAAGAACTTTTATTGGTGCTACTGATTCAAGTTCTTTTAATAATGGATTCAGGCTTAAAAGTTCTTCAACCAATTCGCAACTAGACACGTCACATTTTTCCCCATCGGTTAAATCATTTGCAAATCTTCACAGGCTTTTTCTAATAAAGACTTCAGGAATTATTTTGATGACAAAAAAGACCATGTATCATTGAATTTGGAGTTTTTCAGAGGCATTTTCAGTTGTATCTATCATAGGGTAAAAGACGTTAATTTTGAACAGTTCTTCGGGATCTGTTAATGTTCCATCTGCAGCTTCATACTCAAATAATCGGGATCGGACTGGTTTAAGCGTGGAATCTATACCAGCCTCAGAAACTATTTCCTTAGCTGTTATTTGAGCAGACGAATAAGTCCGGTACTGCTTAACAAATTCCGAGCAGTTTTTCAGAAATTGCGTTGCGTTTGATAAATTCGTGGTTTCATACTGCATAGCTTTACTTACAATGTTACTTGAAACAATATATCATACCAAGCCACCAATGTAGGTAACTAAGAATTCAAATCGCTCCATATTCTGCAAATGAATCATTCGTTTCTTCGTGAAGATCCAAAGAGGATCACGAACTGAACAGTAATTGTAGCGAACAGATGCAAAGCTAAAAACTCTACTCTCCCAGCGAGTTTCGCAAACTTTTTTCAATGATAGTCCTTCTATGTGTTTGGATATGACTCCCCACCACTTTGTTGATCCAGAAAATTTTACAAATAGTCTTTGGAGAAATCCAAATAAAGAGACCGATTTAACGGATGATTTAGCTGCATCTGCTACCACCAAATTCAAGCTGTGACAGCCACATGGGTTCAAAAATGCTCGAGGATATTGGTTCAGAATTCTGGTTTGGACACCTTTTCCCCTCACCTCCTCCCCGTTCGTCGCTCGTCGCTACTCGCCGGGCAACAACACGATTTGCTTGCGCGTAAGTCAATCGGTACCTAGTCGGGCGTTCGGGCGTTTTCGGCGCCCCCCATATGACGGCGCCCGGTGCGGTCGCACCGCTCGCACCGCCCTAGGGCCGCCACTGATCTACATGCTCTATATACCTGAATCTAATTCATAATTTCGATACTTGGCTTGATTTCCCTAGTTTACTATATATCTTATTTGTTTTTTATTATTTTAATGTGTTCAGTGTATATGGTTTATAGAAGTTCTCAGGGGTGTCCGTCAATAATATTCGTTTCTACAGTAATTTATATATAATTTCGAATCTAGGAAACAATTTTTCATGATTATTGGTCTTTAGGCCAAACATGTATGGAAGCTGAGCAATCTCCTTTAAACCACAACATTTCTGGAGTCTTTAACGATGTGTTTCTATATTCTCGTATAATACAATCATCATCATTACTATATTTATCATGAAATCTATTAAAAATCATGGTTTTATAATATAAATTCAGATAGGTTGTTTCCTATTTTATTGGCATCATGCCA